TTTCACTGACACCGTCTGAACACTATAATCAAGTATATACTACAGGATCAACTACAGTACCAATAAAAACATTGGGCCCTTTCAGTTACTATAAGGTCATTTACTGCTGACAGCTTGTATAATCTCCATACAAAAGCACTGACCAATAGTATGGCACGCTCTTGATCATCCGCACATTAGCCTAAGGTCACCATGTCCAATGCCAAGCATGGGCTAGAGGGGTGTAAAGCCCCCCAGCATTGGGCTGTGGAGCAGCTGCATTCTCTGGAGTGATGGAACTCCATCCAATACCTTTGGGATGAGTACCTGACCTCACTAATGCTCCATCATATCCACACAGCAATGTTCAACATCTAGTGTAAAGCCTTCCCAGAAGAGTAGAGGCTGTTACTGCAGCACAAACACACTATTAATACCGTTCATTTCAGAAGAAACACTTAAAAGTCTACAAACTTTTGGACATCTATGCAGCAGCACAACACTTTAATCAAAAAATTAAAGTACCCCATATCTAGTCCACCAGCCAAGACATGTTTAGTGTCGAAAGTTAGCCCTGCTAGAAAAACAGGCATAGGCCAGCAAGGCCAGTGAAACCAGCATATGTTGTGTTTTGGATGCTGGTATGCTGCTCAACCAGCAAGACCATACCGGGTGAACAGCTAAACCTGCACCAGACCAGCATAAATCAGCATAGTCTGTGCTGTTTTTTCAGGGTGTTTCTTTAGTTTTAGCGCTGGAGGCTAATGAAGCTAACAATTAATGAAAGCTTATATCCCAGCAATTAGCCTAGTGCTAACAGTATGCTTAAACTATCACACACACACCTCAAAATCTGTTGAATAGTTCATGAATTGTGACTTGATTGTGCCCATTTTCATAGATAACAGCTTCTTTATTTTTGCTATATGCTAGTTTAGCTGAAAACAGTTAAAACCTGAATCAACATTTGTAGATAACAGTGAGTCATACAGTGTCAGAAACCACATAACCAAGTCTATTAGCGATTAGGAACAACTCCACACTGTTTGGGTTGAGTTTATGATGATTTTGGCCTGCGGTTAGCACCACGCTAATTGATCATCATAAGCTTCTATTACTTGTTAGCTACATTAGCCTCATAGCTGCAGTGCGAAAACTAAAGAAGCTTCGGAGCCCAAACTTGTCTTGGCTGATCGATTCCATTTGAGGTAAGAGGGAGGAAACCGTGCCAAATGATTAAAATCAGTGAAGTGGACATGGCTGGACTGTAGCTGACCGCTGCATTAGCTGTGGTGAGTGAGCAGGATATTCTGCAGTGGCTGCTTTAGCGATCTGGCGGGTTTCCAGATCCTTGACAGCTGCTGGAGAGCCGAGTCTGAGTACTGCAGTCGGTCTAAGCAGCAGGAGGACGGAGAGGATCTGATTACTCTGGACATCTGAGGCTGGACGGTATTCTGCATGCTGATGTAGCGGAGTGCTGGACTGAGGTGCGCTGTGAAAAGCGGCCCTAATGAATGTTTATAGAGCGCTGCAGTTGTATGATGAACTCAGTGAACATAAACACTGATCCAGCTGTCTGTGATGATAGAAATTCCACATGAAAAAAAAAAAATATTTTATATCTGGTTCGTGGTCTGTGTTGAATATTTCTCTTGTATATTTTATTGCCCTCTTAAGTCATGTCGTCATTCTGTTGTCAGCATCAAGCCCATATTAGGAACTGATATGACGTGTTTGTGTAACGCATGAAGCAGTTTAAATGTCGGTTTTAGACCTGAATGCCGATATATTAAAACATAACAGACAGTGTTTTTCATATTTCCTTTGTTTTTAATTAATTAGTACGTTTAGCACTATTAGTAGTTTGAGGAAAGCTGCAATAAAAACAAATAAAATCAACCTGTATGCTGAACATACACTATATGGCCAAAAGTATGTGGACACTTTGTGTATGTGCCCTTAATTATTGAGTTCAAGCGTTTGCTAATAAGTGGATAAAATCAAGCACATAGCCTTGCAGTCTCCATAGAGAAACACTGGCAGTAGAATGGGTCGCACTGACGAACTCATTGACTTTAAACATGGCACTGTCATAGGATGCCACCTCTGCCACAAGTCAGTTTTTTGTCCTGCTAGATCTGCCCTGGCCTACTGTAAGTACTATTATTATGAATTGGAAGTGTCTCGGAGCAACAACAGCTTAGCTATGACTTTGTAGACCTACCAATCACAGAGTTGGGCTGCTGAAGGCTGTAGCACACAGCGTCTATCCTCTGCTGCATCTCTCACTACAAAGTTCCAAATTGCCTCTGGAAGCAACATCAGCACAAGAACTGTGTGTCGGGAGCTTCATTAAATGGGTTTCCATGTCTGAGCAGCTGCACACAAGCCTTGTATCACTATGTGCAATGCCAAGCATCGGCTGGAGTGGTGTAAAGCAGGCCGCCACTGGATTTTGGAGCAGTGGAAACATGTTCTCTGGAGTGATGAATCACACTTCTCTATCTGACAGTCTGATGAATCTGGCACAGAGCCCTGACCTCAACCCCACTGAACACCTTTGGGATGAACTGGAATGTCGATAGTGAGCCAGAACATCAGTGTCTGATCTCACAAATGCTCTTTTGACTGAATGGACACAAATTCCCACAGACACACTCCAAAATCTTGTAGAAAGCTTCCCAGAAGAGTAGAGGCTGTTATAGCTGCAAAGAGGGACCAACTCCTTATTAATGCCTATGGTTTTGGAATGGGACATCCAACAAGCTCATTAGGTGTGATGTATAGGTGTCCACATACTTTTGGCCATATAGTGTACAATAAGAGAAGCGGGATTTGATGGTACTTAGTAATTATTATTATTATTATTATTGTTGTTGTTGTTGTTGTTATTATTATTTTGTCGCATATTTAAGAACTATAAAATGCATGTCTTAGAAGAGTTTACATGGTACAGGATGAGGGATCCAGAAGACATCAATTCTTCATTCATTTCACACTGGTTCTGCAGGCTACAGACAATACGGACAATATTCTTACATTATGGTTTGTCTGTTTTAAATTACATCACAGACCCCCCAGGCAGTGAATCCAGTACAGTAGAATCAACATTAGCGTCAGAATATTACAGTGCTCAGTGCTGTTTAGCTCTCAGGACGTTTTACATGAGGCCTGGCCTGTGATTAATGATCAATGTTTTCTGAAAATGTCTCATTTCATGCAGTTTGGCCTGAAACAACATCCTTTTCATTATGCAAACTAAGTGGCGCCTCAAAAAAAAACAGCATCCCCTTCCATTTTCCCCCTTAAAAGCTTTCCACCAATATTGGACTGAATGAAGCTGCTTTCATGCCATTCACACTTCAGATTCACGCCCTGTCATCCTATTAAATAGGCTTTCATTCAAACCCGGCTTTACGCCGCTCTCCTTGATACTTGGCAGCGGATTCTACAGCACTGGCAGCCTTTCTCTGGTTGCCAGTAGTAACCACTTAGAGCCACTTGCTTTCTGTGCAGTAACGGTGTATCACAACCTTTTGTGCCAAACGGCTCAGTATGACACGGCATTATTGCCAACCATACTGAACCAACGTCCAGAGTTTGTGCTGTGACATTTTCATTTTTCCTTTTTTTTCCCACTGAGACTAATAGCATATTTGGTTCCTCTGAGACGACCATGTGGGCCCACATCAGATTCTCCCTTGATTTTTCTTCAATTTCTATAAAACATAAACCCTAAGTACGCCCACCTCCCATCCCTGGCCACTTTATCAGAATCCCCACCCTTGCTGGTGTACAGTTACAGACTGTAGCCCATCTGTTGATGCATAGTTTGTGATAGCCATCCTCTAGTCCCTCCTCAGTAGTCAGTTTCCGCCCACAGGGCCACTCTCGGCTGGATGCTGTTGATGAATAGGGTGGAGGGGGGGGCTGATAAATTGTGCAGTAACAATCTGTACAAGATGGATGTTTCTAATAAAGTGTCCAGTTACTGAAAGCAAAGGTAGGTGTTTCTAATAAAGTGGCCAGTTAGTGGAAGTACAAGGTAGTTGTTCTCAGTAAAGTGGCCAGTGAGTGAAAGCAAAAATGAGGTGTTTCTAATAAAGTGGCCAGTTAGTGGAAGTACAAGGTGGGCGTTTCTAATAAAGTGGCCAGTTACTAAAAGCAAAGGTGGGTGTTTCTAATAAAGTGGCCAGTAAGTGGAAGTGCAAGGTGGGTGTTACTAATAAAGTGGCCAGTTACTGAAAGCAAAGTAGGTGTTTCTAATAAAGTGGCCAGTTAGTGGAAGCACAAGGTGGGCATTTCTAATAAAGTGGCCAGTTACTAAAAGCAAAGGTGGGTGTTTCTAATAAAGTGGCCAGTAAGTGGAAGTGCAAGGTGGGTGTTACTAATAAAATGGCCAGTTACTGAAAGCAAAGGTGGGTGTTTCTAATAAAGTGGCCAGTAAGTGGAAGTGCAAGGTGGGTGTTACTAATAAAGTGGCCAGTTACTGAAAGCAAAGGTGGGTGTTTCTAATAAAGTGGCCAGTGATTGGAAGTGCAAGGTAGGTGTTTCTAGTAAAGCAGATTGTGAATGTATGTAAAACAGAAGTGGTCAGTTTCAGAGATTGAGCTGAACCGCTGTGGCGCTGGGGGCACTTATACCAGGCGGCCAGCAGGGGGTGAGAAAGAGCGGCGCTTCATTCAGAGGACTTCATTATTTCCACCTGTATTCCGACATGCCCCGCCTCTCCTGCGCTGGGATTGGCTAGTGTTTCGCACTCACAAGCCATCAGCCGTTCTAGAACGCTAAAGCCCCGCCCCCTCTGCACTGGCACTGGTAAGTAGTTCTAGCAGTTCTAAGAGCGTTTTTAATGCACGCAGCACGTTCTAGAACCATTCTCTGCGCGCCCTAGCAAAGCGTTCTATAACGTCTGTCAGTGTCTGAGGGTGATCCTGTAACCAATCCCAGCGCGGGAACGAGGGAAGGGCGGGGCTTGCCGGAATACGGGTGGGGAAAAAACTCATAACGTGACTGAAGCAGCTGACTGACTGCTCACTCGGTTACCTCGCAGATTTCGAAACGTTGGAGTGCGCGCGCGTGCGAGTGTGTGTGAGTGTGTGTGTGAGAGGGAGAAGAACCAAGGCTCCGTCGACTGACCAGAGAGGTGTAACACCACTGTTTCTGGAGGAATGTGTGGATCCACCGCTGGATAACGTGGAAAAAACCCTATACGTAGGAGAGATTCCAGTCTTTTTGGAGGATTTACTGGGGTTTTCCTCTCAGTTTCCTTGTTTTGCCGCCGGTACCGACAGGAAAAGCCCCCGCCGTCGAGGAAAGCTCAGTCACATTTACGCGTAAAACGCCTCCTGTTCCAGATTGCGCTCGTGCAGTCCGCGGTGTAGCCTTTCTGGAGACCTTTCTCAACGCGAACGCTGGACTATCATCAGCACAGCACTCTTAAAAGGAGACTGCCTGGTTTAACTGGGACTCACTGGGGGGAGAAACTCACCTGACCTCACATTTCGACGTTTCAGAGAGGAGAAGGGGAATAAAAGTCGTGCTGAAAATGCCCCTCGCTCAGCTGGCGGAGCCATGGCCCAAAATGGAGCTGGTGCAGCTGGAGACGGAGGTGAGGAGGGGGGCACACCGGGGCTGAGGTCACACTGCTAAAGTAAAACTCGCGTTAAATGACTGACTGATCACTCTGCTGACATACGGCTCACAGGGACTACCTGTCTCGGTCACACTGCTGACATTCAAGTCACATTAATGACTTGTCTGTCACACTAATGACCTGTCTGATCTCAACGTTAAAATAAATCTTACACTAATGACCTGTTTATCACAACATTAAAGTAAAAGTCACACTAATGACCTCTCTGATGACAACATTACAAAAAATAAAACTCATGCCAATAACCTGTTTATCACAGCATTAAAGTAAGGGTCACACTATTGACCTGTCTGATCTCAAAGTTAAAACTCACAGTAATGACCTGTTCATCACAGCAGTAAAGTAATAGTCACACCCTTGACCTGTCTGATCTCACTAATTACCTGTTTATCACAGCATTAAAGCAAGTCACACCAATGACCTGTACAATGTTAACGTTATAAAATTAAAACTCACACTAATGACCTATGTATCACAGCATTACAGTAAGAGTCATACTATTGACCTGTCTGATCTCGACGTTAAAAGAAAACTCACACTAATGGCCTGTCTGATCTCAACATTAAAATAAAATTCACATTAATGACCTGTCTGATCACCCTGCCGACATTCAGCTCACAGTGACAACTTGTCTTGGTCACACTGCTGAGATTCACTGCTCACTTTAATGACCTGTCTGATCTCAGCGTTAAAATAAAACTCACACTAATGACCTGTCTGACCATGCTATTAAAGTAAAAGTCACACTAATGACCTGTCTTATTTCACTACTGACATACAGCTCACATTAATGATTTGTCTGTCACAGCATTAAAGTAAGAGTCACACTAATAACCTGTCTGATCTCAACGTTAAAATAAAACTCACAGTAATGACCTGTTCATCACAGCATTAAAGTAAGAGTCACACTAATGACCTCTCTGATCTCAACGTTAAAATAAAACTTGCATTATTGACCTGTCTGACCACGCCACGCCACTTGCCTGTTACAGTGTCAAAGTAAAAGTCACACTAATGACCTGTCTGATTATGTCACAAAAGTAAAACTTGCACTAATGGACTGTCCGATCGTGCTACTAAAGTAAAAGTTGCACTAATTACCTGTTTGCTTACAGCACTTAAGTAAATGTCACACTAATGGACAGCCTGATGACACTGGTAAAGTAAAACTCGGACTCATATGTAAAGCTAACATTATTGACCAGTATGACCACTTGATTAAAGTAAAACTCACAATAATGACCTGTCTGTGACAGCATTAAAATGCAAGTCACACTAATGACCTGTCTGATTTGAACATTAAAGTAAAAGTCTGACTGTGCTACTTAATTCATTACCTGTCTGATTTCACTGCTAAGTAATTGTCATGCTAGTGGACGGCCTGATCACACTAGGGAAGTAAAACTCAAACTAAAGTGTGAAGCTGACATTAATGACCAGTTTGACCACACCATTAAAGTACAGCTCACGTTAATGACCTGTCTATGACAACATTAAAGTACAAGTCACACTAATGACCTGTCCAATCACGGCACTTAAGTAAAACTCTCACCAGTGAGTTCTCAAATAACATTCTCACTAATTGACTGTCTGTTTACAGCATTAAAGTAAAGCTCACACTAATGAGCTCTCTGATTACACCACAAAAATAAAGCATGCACTAATGGACTGTCAAGTTTGCCTGTCTAAGCATGCATCTATTACAGAAGTCACGCCAATGACTTCTCTGGTGCACTACTGAAGTAAAAGTCATGCTAATCAACTGTCTGATCACACTAGTGAAATTAAACTAAACACTAACGTGTAAAGCTTACATTAATAACCAGTCTGCCTACACTGCTACAGTAAAGAGTCACACTATTGACCTATCTGGTCACACTTGTGATAGACTGAAGTTCTCATTAATTAATTGTCTGATTGCACTGGTAGTGGAAAAGTCATACCAGTGACCTGGCTGGTCATACCAGTAAAGTAAATTCTCATTTATTACCTGTTTGGTTAACCTACTAAAGTAAGTCACACCAATGACCTGTCTGATTAGTAAAGTAAATTCTCATTAATTACCTGTTTGATTACGCTACTAAAGTAAGTCACACCAATGACCTGTCTGATTAGTAAAGTAGATTCTCATTAATTACCTGTTTGATCAGCCTACTAAAAGAAAAGTCACACCAATGACTTGTCTGATTGTAGCAGTAAATTTTCATTAATTACCTGTTTGATCACCCTGCTAAAATAAAAGTCACACCAGTGACCTGTCTAAATGTAGCAGTAAATTCTTAATAATTACCTGTTTGATCACGCTACTACAGTAAAAGTCACACCAATGACCTGTCTGATCTTGTAACTGACGTAAAACTCTCATTTATGTGTCTGATCACTCCTCTGACAGAACATTCCACCTGATGGCCTGAGTCTCGTTGCACCAGCAAAAAAAATAAAGGGTCACACTAATGACTGAGTCTGGTCATTTCTTCCAACAAGCGCAAATCACATACTTATGCCGGTTTACTACTTTATCAGGTGCAAAACAAACTCTTGTTTCTTTAGCTTCTGAATTTGTATAATGTAGTGAATTCCAGGCACATTTTTGCTTGTAAATTAGTCTTGGAACATGGTTCAGATTTCAAAGTGCGTTTGACTTGTACTGGCACTGTTGGTGAGTTATGCTGGCATAAAGACGTGGCGTGTTCCATCAGGTTTTGAGCTTGTGTGCAGCTTCACGATGGCCATGCCTGTGCAGAGCCCATCACACAGAGAATAAAGTGAAATGTGTTGTAACCACGAAGCCTGTATCAGCTTGTGTTTTGCAGATGTCAGCAGTTTTAGAGCCATCCACGCAGTTGGTCTGGCTTTCAGAGTCAGCAGAAATAGCATGCAAATCAGGAAATCTCAAATCTGGTTTAAAACAAAGCCCAATTCCGGCAAAGTGTTTGATTTTCCTGCTCAAATACATCAGATTCAGCTCATCTGTTATGAACCAGGTTGGTATAAGATAAGTGAAAAGTGAGGCTTGTCCAATAGGCCATCAGCTCTTCTCCGGTTGGACAAGGCTTGTTTATTAGATTAAGTTATCTGGCTAACTGACAACTCCTGCTTTGCAAAATACTGTTAGTACTACTGTTACTAAACCTCAGCCCTGTTATATACCAACATCAGCTACTCAAATTTTGGGCTAACACCGAGTATCTTAACTGCCATGTTTGGCAAAGCTGGCTGGGAGTTTTGGTGAGGTTGTCAGTCTCCTTGGTAACTTCCTAATTGAGGGGATCCAGTGAAGTTCGATGGAAAAATGAATGAAGGAGAAAGCTGTGACTTTCGAAAAATGCTGTTTATTTTTCCCATACAGAAATCTGCCAAGAGCTGGACTTCCTTATATGGTCATTACAACAACTACACAGTGATAATGCGACTTCAGTGTGTTATGGAAGCTGTAAGAATGACTGTGCTAGGGCTGGGTGACAGTGTTTAACGTTATTGTGATAAATTACTTCACAGTATGCTTTTCTGAGTGTATCATGGATATTGTCGTTATTTAGTAAACACTGACCAACTGCATGTTTGAACACAAAGAGAGCATCATTAGTCCTGTTTCATTGGATTTAGGACAGCACAGTGTGTGAAATGTTAAATACAAGTGATTGGATTCATAGGTTTTGAAAGTATTTCTAAGATGTGGCTCTACCTTGTCTGCTCCGATTTTATTTACATGTCAAAAATATTATCTAGTATCGTGTAAATCTTTCTGAAATATCGTGATATTACATTCTACCATTTCCCTACCTCTACTGTGCAGATCATAGGAACATTGCAGAGCGCTTTCTAAAAGAAACGACACAAGCCGTAAGTGTAAACAGTACATGCGTTTACATGCACTCAGTAGTCTGATCGTAATCAGATTTCTGCGGTTATCTGATTATTCAAATGGTCGTGTAAACAGCACACTTGGATTTCATAGAGTAAGGTCCAGAAATCTTATTAAGAAATCTGCTAAAGAGGCTGGATTTTAGATCAATAATCAGATTTCTCACTGCATGTAAACTCTTACTCTGATTTCTTTCGGATTTCTCATCTGTGCATGTGCGAAAACAGACTGCTGTACCGGAAATAAGATGTGAGTTTATTGGCTGGTTGCAAAGCAGAAATGTGATTACTGCCTGACTCATGTAGACCCAGAGTTTCCCCATTATCTGATTACTCAAGTGCGTGTAAAGGCGTTGATCGGATTACTGACAAAATCTGATTTTCTGCAGTTATCAGATTATGAAGTGTGTGTAAATCTGTCTCTTTCCATAATCCATATTCTTGATGATTAATTACTGCAGTCCTTTTGATCACTCAGACTCGTTGCAGCTAAAAGTCCTTGAAATGTTGCCAGCAGACCTTTTACTGTGCTACCTTTTATTTTCTTGAGCAGTTTGGAAATTGTGTAGTAAGGTGCAGAAAGTCACAGTGGAGTGAAGTGATGCTCTTTAACTGAATTCTCCTCCATGTAAGATGGTGCAAGACAATCGTTAGTGTGCTGTTTCGAATGATCAGTTCACAGAACACTTTTATCTTGCACTTTTCTGTCTCGATTTACTTTTTGGCCCAATTGTTAACAATCATTTGTCAAATTTTCATGTTTGGAAGTTAATTTTTTTAAGTGGGGAAGGAGAAATGAGTCAATCTTTGGACTTTATAACTTCAGTGCCTTTATAACCAGAACTTCAATGTTCTCCCTTTACAATCATGCATCAGCCACCTGACCTTACATACAAACTCTCGGTCACTCTCACTGGCATATTTATCAAAGTTGCATTTAAAAGAGGTCAGATTTGACCGCCTTTAATGGCATACAAAGCACTCTGTGTCTGATTCATGAAACTTTCATACAGCATGAACACGAGTGCAACTTTGAGCTGAATCAGCTTTGGTGCGTGAAATCAAGCGCCAGCCTTGCAGCACCTCATTTA